TTAACCACTCGGCCATCACAGCTCTGGAAGTAGTGATATATAGTGCATTCAAAGCACAAATGCCTCTGAGCGTGAACTACAGTGTTTACAGATCATCTGACCAGTGCTCATAAGGGAATTGCTTCAGAGAATGAAAAATGAAGATGTCAAGTCCCCCAAACAGAGTGATGTTGCACTCTCTTTTTATTTATAATGATCATTCAGCCTGCTGTTTGGTTCCACACTTTGAGAAGTGATCCACAATGAATGCTGATACCAATGCTGTTGATGTCCTCTGGAACACAGGGGTCAAATAAATCTTCCTTTAGGATCAGGCTGCTGCTGCTGCTGCTGCTGCACTGGTCTGTGAACAGAGCTGCCACTTCATCCACCAAACACAAGGGAAGCAGAACACAAGCTGACCATCTCCAGTCCAATTCAAAACAACATATTATAGCTGCTCCATGGGACTAAGTATTAATTATAAAACCAATCCATCACCTGACTTCATCATAACTAATATTGTCAGAGTTTGGAATTTATTTACCAATATGTAGTGTAGGTGTTACTTGTCTTTAAAATGATGTAGACTGAAAGTTAATAATAGATTACTACATTAAAGCATGGGTTGGTGTTTAATAGCCTCAAGCATATGAATCTATTTTTGCACGCGTTTGCATCCATGCAGCTTTTACAATAAGGCCTCTGCAAGGTTGTTGTGTATACAGTAATGAAACCTCTGTTACGGATTAACGAGGCTTCCTCTTACCAACAGGTTTATTTGCTGGTGAGGGCCAATAAGCAGAGGCAGGCGGATTAAATAAACACTCTCACTGAAGTGGCAATCATCGTTGCTGATGAACACTCACAATCCACATTTAGACCCTCAGCTTGTAATTACAGGGAGGCCGTGATGGCTAGTAATCACCGTGTGTGTGTATGCGGGGATTAACTTGGCGAAATAATAGGCAACTCAAGGCAAAGATGCTCAGAAGGCACAGACGCACTCAGCTCTGGATCTGCATATTGATGAGCACTGAGGTGATTTTCCTTCAGAGGACGTTCAGAGCAATGTTTTTGGCTCCTGCACAACGGTTCCTAAAGGCGAGCACGCTCTGAGCCACGAGGTTCTGTCCGTGGTGCTGATGCTGCTGTTGTCGTGGCTGACTGCCGCCCGCCGCAGCATCTCCTGCACGCAACGTGCCCACAAAAATCTTTCTTCTATGTATCGGCATGCGTCAGGGAGGAGGTGGGAGTGGTGCTCCAAGACTTTGTGTGGCAGTCACAGGGTTTGCGATTGCTGTCCGCCCGCAAAAAAAAAAGAAAAAAAAAAGAGAGACACAAGAGAAGCACGTGTAGTGGGTGGTCCTCAGCAGAAGACTTTCACGTGGCTCTAGCGAGCGCCGTGCCAGAGCCGGAGCCGCCACACTGTTTAGTCCGGTGCTGCAACAGCAGGAGGCAACATCAGCATGGCTGCGGAGATGGAGCCCTCGGAGTAAGTGCGCTTTCCTTCTGTGGTTTTTGTGGTAAATGACGAGTTTTCAGTGATGGCTTGGTGATTTAAAAGTCATAATGATCAGACCATATGTGCCACTATACAAAAAGAAAACATTACGTTTGCATTGAACATATTAGAGGTGCTGGGGTCCGTTATGTTGTAGATTACGCATCAAACTGGGAGATTGTATCTGCTGTTTATGCCATGATGTTCAATTAGGGAATTATAATTTTGCTGCGATGTTCGCGTCTTTCTAAAAGTAAATTTTTACAATGAAATGGGATATTATTCATCGGGATATGACATGTACACCTTTCTTCTACGACATTGTTATTTATTGCCTACGGTTTGTGTACCCATGTGGCGTTTGTTTAATTGGTTGTGGAGCCTCTCATCCAATCTCTGACACGCTTTCATTATTAATAGACTATTTATTGTGAGCAGTATGCTGCACATATGGCCAAATTCCCCTGTGAGGCTGCTCAAATGGTCGCTTTGAGCCATTTAATCTAATGTTCTGGCTGATTATGCTGACAGAAAGGTGGGTCCGGACTGTTTTGCAGCCACTATGCACAGTGTATGTTTCATCCACATGTGCCTGTTGATCTAACAGGCTCTTCACCCCTGGGTAGGTTGTGGGTGAGCTTTTTTATTGGTTAGTTATTTAGTTTCCTGTGGGGAAACGTGGGGATGGAGTACACACTGTTGCCAAACTCTTTTTTGTGGTGGATTTATGGTGGGAGGTTAAATGTGAGAAAATGTAACAAAAAAACTTATAGAGTATCAGTGGATGACGTTAATCCAGTCACCAGGCAATGCCACTGCTGCGTCTCTGGACAAAAGGTGCACGTGAAAGACCATAAACTGCAGGGTGATGATGGAGTGATAACAGCGGGGGAAGATGGGATGCAGAGAGTTGTGAAAATGTCCAGCAGATGGCTCTGAATTGGGACCAAAGTCCTCATGAATCAGAGTCCCTGCTCTTGTCTTGTTTTGACTGAAACAACAGACAATCTATGGCCAAATGTGTGGCAGCTTCTGGAAATAAAACAGTGTTTCAGTGTCCAGTTGATCACTCAGAATCAGTGATTGAGTATGACAGGAGTGATAAACACTGGGATTGCCCTCTACAAGATCAAAAGATACTAAAACACCATGTAACAAACTGGATTGGAAAATCAATGCAGCAAAATATTGCCATAGGTCCGCCTTAATACTGTTATGGGGGCTTGTTATCTTGTGTGTGTCGTGTTTCATTCCGCTGTGTCACCTCAGTTAGCCAGCTGTCTTTTTTATGGACTATGGACATAACAAAGTTTTTCAACCTTAACTATTTTTAGGTAGCAGACGTATACATTTGTCATCCTCAACATTTATTGTGCTCTGGCTTTATAATGATTAAGGCAGTCAGAGAACAATTAAATACAAAAAAAAAAAATTCTGGGCAACTATCATGTTTTTCCCAAATGATATGATATTAAAAGTTTGTGCATATAGCTGCTGTAAACATGCCTCTGGACTCCCCTTGGTTTGCAATAAGCCCCAAATGTTTACAATGTCTGGCTGACAAAATCCCGAACACAAGCTGGTAAGCAACTGGTAATTCTTGTCTAAATGACTTCACCCTTCCCAGCTTAGCAGCCTACAGGCTTTTACTTTAAATGTAAGATTATCGGTCAACATGTGGTTGTAACATTACATCAACCTTCCTTCTCTAGCGTGATCCGCCTGATAATGCAGTACCTCAAGGAGAACAACCTCTACCGAACACTGACTACCTTACAGGAGGAAACCACCGTCTCACTCAACACAGTGGAAAGCATCGACAGTTTCATTGCTGATATAAAGAGCGGCCACTGGGACTCTGTCCTGCTGGCTATTGAGTCCCTCAAGTTGCCCGACAACACGCTTATTGACCTTTACGAGCAGGTGAGCTTCGCATTGATCAGCTAATACTTTTCTCGGCTTAAACTTTTGAATTAGCAGCATCTGATGAACATGAACTCTTTAACAGGTTGTAATGGAGCTCATTGAGATGAGGGAGGTGGGAGCAGCTCGCTCACTTCTCAAACAAACTGACCCCATGATCATGTTGAAGCAGACGCAGCCAGAGAGGTACAACCATTTGGAGAACCTGCTAACGTGCTCCTACTTTGACCCTCGCGAGGTGAGAATATGAAGGTTTTTACTTTGAAACAACTGCATCAGTAAGCAGTCAGTAAAGTGACGTGCCTTTCCTCTCTCTGCAGGCGTACCCAAAAGGCAGCAGCAAGGAGAAGCGGCGCAGGGCAATAGCCGAGGCGCTGGTGAGAGAGGTCAGTGTGGTTCCCCCTTCTCGCCTCATGGGTCTTCTGGAACAAGTTGGCGTGAGTATACTGATCAATATCTCTCTCAATACTCACTGTAATTATCTGAGGGAAGCCACTTAATCAATTTAGGACTCTTTGATTGAGAATTCAAGGTCTCAAACTATCTCCTGTTTATCTCTTTTACTCTGACAGTAGATAGGGCCGTTCGTATTTTTTGTGTCTTTCGCAGCTACAGTAGTTTTCCATCACATTTGGATGGGGAGGGAGAAATGAGGGAGTAACTGCACTGCAAGATGCCACTAAATCCTACACACTGGACTTCCTAATGTCCTCTGAAGCTTCCGCTGCACTGAAGAGACAAAAAAGGCGACAGATGAAAGCATTTGAAACTGTAACATTACTCTACATTAATACATGAAAAAAAGTCCTATTTCCATCACAGTTTCCACATGAGGTTAAGGTTTGCTGCTCTTTTAATTACATCATCATGCTGCGGCCCTCTTCCTCTCTAATGATTTGATGGCACCCGACGGGAGAATTCAGAATGGATGGAAACACAGATTAATTAACATTTTCTTTTGCTGATTTTCGGGAAATTCAGTTAGAACCTGCACTAAATTTTAACGTAGACTTCAATCAAACCAAACCTACACAGTTCAGATGAAAGAGATTAGCTGAGTTTTTGAGAGTTAAACTGTTAAGTAATAACTGAGGATGTTTATTGAACTGAACTTCTGAACTTTAACTTTAATTTTGCTCATTTAGTCATGAATATTTCATATTAGAGAAATATTTGAAGATTTCGGGGGCTTTAAAGTTTTAGTGATTGTAACTTCATTGGATGGAGCAGCACATTAGAAAAAAAATAAGTCATGAAATTAGTCTAAAATTATTCATTTTATTTGCTTTTAACATTTAATTATTTGTTATATAGGGTCCTTTAAGATTGGCAAATCAAGATATGCTCAATTTATTGTGTAGCTGTGTTTAGCTTGCCCTGAAACAGCAATATTCAACACTAAGCTTGTGACTATCAATGCAGTGATTCCAAAAACGTCCTAAAGACATACATCCCACTGTTGTTTTTTATATCTAAATGGAGAGCATGGTACATTTTTCCCAGGGGAAGGTTCTTGGTGAAGCCCACGTTTGTTTTGCTGGTGCCAGTAAAATGTTTCAAGGTGCAGAATTGACTCATTTAATGCAATATAGAGATACTAAAAAGCATAAATGATCTACTAATAATGATGGTTGTGTTTTTGGCCATAGTATACAAGATATTATTGTACTAAAATATAAAGCTGCCACGCAAACTGCAACAGGACATCTACTGCCAATTAATAATTTGAAAACTTTTTTATGGCTTTATTTCTTTGTTGTGAGACCTGTTCACATTCACGGTCTGATTTTACAGATCTGCAGCTGCAAGTCCCTTAATTTTAATCATGTGTTGCATTGTGGGACAACAGCACTGCATTGTAAAAATCTCTTTGTATATTCAAGTTGGCATTTTTTTAGTGTTCATGTTTTTGTTGAGACCTTGACATTGACGGAGTAAAACAGCCACAACTACTTTATGTTTTCTATTGACTGTTTCTCATTCCTGTCTCACACAGTCTATGAGACTGCAGCAGTATCCAGATAATCTCTCCCCCGACATGACCATCGACACGCCTGGCAACAAGGAGAGACATGTAGAGAAAGAGAGCTTCCCAACCCAGCTGTACCGCCACATCAAGGTAGACCATCACAGGTTCTAATTCCCAATTCTAATATATTCCAATATACTGTGTATACTAGTTACAGTATATACTACTACTACTACTACTACTACTTTAAAGATGGGTTTGGCGATTGTGGGAGCAAACATTGTTGTAGAAAAGTAAATAAGACCTTTCTGTGTCTATTGATGAGTCATTTCCAAATGTAGACTATCTCTTCCTCATTAAACACACACACACACACTGTGAGTAATTGCTTTACTCACCTGAAGGCACTTGTCTTCAATCTCAGGCTGTGCTTTCATCACTCGCATCCATATGGAGCTGCCTGAGTTGCTTGTCCTTGCTTTTCCCTGCCCAAGGTCACAATGGGCAGCCCACACTATGCCTCCCTGAGGTTGCAAAATAGGCGAGCGGGTTTTCTGGAAGACAGAGGAATGTTGAGAATGAGGTGTTGTTTTATCCTGCAGTTTGGACGACGGTCACATGTGGAGTGTGCCCGTTTCTCTCCTGATGGCAAGTACTTAATCACTGGATCGGTGGATGGGTTCATTGAGGTCTGGAACTTTAACACTGGAAAAATTAGTAAGGTAGGTTTGTTTCATATCATTTAAACACTTAAAAATAGTAAGACCCTTTTTTACTTTTCCTAATTTGTTGTATTTTTAGACTGTTTGTATTTGTGGTTTTAACAGTGTTTTAATGCTGCCCACTTGGCCAAATATACGTTTTAATTGTATTTTTACATAACAGAAACATTTATTTTATTGTTTTTCTGTTTTGTGTATGAATGTGTACCTGTGTCTGTCTGTCTG